GCAAAGGTTTCAAAGCTCACAAACACGAGGTGGAAGGAGAGGGTTTCGTGCTGCTCAAACTTTTGCGACTTTTCTGCTTTGTCTTCTTCTTTTGTTTGCTTACAAAAGGAATGCGCTGGGCTTTTTGCACTTCTTTTGGGATTCTTGCACTTGCTATTCAATGTTCTTTTGGGCTTCTTGTACTTGCTACTCAATGTTCCCACTTGATCTAGTTTTTTTGCGTGCTATTATGCCATGTCCAGTATTGTTAGAATGGTAGATGTTTAATGAGAGTGTTATGCTTTAGTAGAGTTGTTGAATTTAGCATTGGATTTGCCATTTTTTGGTCTGAGCACCAAAGGATCATTTGTTTTATCTTTTAGTTTGTCATTTGTTTGGTCAATTGTTTTTTGCTTATAGACAATAAAGCTTTTTATATAGGGAATGCGTGCCTTGTTGTGTGTGTGTGTGTGCGCGCGCGCGTGCGCGCGCACGCGTGTGTTGCATTTCTGTTGGCCATTGTATACACACTTACTTTCATGATGTACTTTGGTTCTGAATCTTTTTAAGAAAATTGTTTTTTATTTTATTTGATTGTCTTTACTTATCTTTAAAAACTAAAAACATGTGATTTTTGTTTTCTTATTTTTATTTTTAGTGTTTCTCATCTTGTATTTGCAAATCCTGAATATTTAATTCTCACTATTTGAATTTTTCTCGAGTTCTTGTAACATTGAGAAAGTCAAATGGTGAGAGCAAAGCAAGAAATTTAGACCCATATTGTCTTCTTCGCCCACCTTTTTTTGAAACAACCTCAAGCATGTCATAACTATGATTACAACAATGAAGCAAGCCCATCAGTTCTAGTACAAGCTTTGATCAGATAATAAAAAACTATGACCTATTGCTCCTTATCACTAAATTTCAGATCCAGTAAAACACAAGGTAGCATATGTACAAAATCGAACATTCAACATCGCCTAGGGGTGCTTCAAGCATCCCAAGTTTGTGAAACCAGATAGCATAAAAATGTGATTGAATCTTTGTGTAACCTTTTGGATTAAAGATTAAGAGACGTTTAGGCCAAAGTGTTTTCCATTGCTGCATACTTGTAGCTACAGATTGACTGCATTTATGCCTTTTTTCATTTGGATTTCCACTTCACCGAAACCCTCTACTCTTGTCGTCAGCATACCTGCGACTGAAGATTATTGAAATAACTCTATCATCGGTGTCATGATCTTGCACACGGAAGTTTATTTAGAAACTATGTTGTTTTATTTTGAGCTGTTTGATCTTACATATTGGTACAAAACAGAAGACATGGTCATGGAGTGATTGTCGTGTTATTGTGCATGCATTTCTTCCCTTCGCGTTATGCTGCCAAAGTTTGTAGGAAAGGTTCACACGACCTTTCATGTTTGTTTGTTTGAATGGTTGGTCCTGCTTTTGCATTATTTCTGCTTTAGTTTATGTAGACGATTATTCCTTGTTTTGGTTTCCAAAAAAACGTTGTGGAGAACAGTTGAGATGGGTCCATAACACCTCTGTCGAGAGGTATCCAGTCTTTGGTGTAGGTTGTTTTGCTCCTACAATGGTGTGTTTATCAAGAGTTTTTTTAATTTGGAGTTGGAGTTGCCATTGTTGGCTTTGAGCTACAATGGACTACTTTTATTTTATTGTGGTAGTCTACGAAAGATCATAACATTTTCGTTTGTTGCTTGACTGGTGAAAATAAAAAAATTCTTCTAAAAGGTAAAGCTTTGTTTACAGAAATAACTGGAATTTTTGTATGTTTACTTTATATCAGCCGTTCTAGGTACAAAGTAACGAGGTCATCATATATTCTTCTCGGTTTCATGTTGCACCTGGCTTCTGAATCTTTTAGGACAAATGGTTATTTCATTCGGGTTTCTTTGCTCATCTTTAAAGCAAAAAAAAGGGATACTTTACCATATTTTCATTTGGATGTCCTTGCTCATATTCCGACAATGAAGCAACCAAACAAGTTTTGGTACACGTTCAATCAGATGATAGAAAACCTACTAGTGAAGCACATCCTATTGCGTGTAGTCACTAGTCATGTTGTATTTGGTTTCAGAATCTTGTTAAGGCAAATTTTTGGTCTAGAATGTACACAAATTTTGGCAAGGAGAAGATGTATATTTTTGGGGATGAGAAAAATGAGAGAGAGGAGAGGGATCCAATGCTTTGTTGCTTGTGTCATTTTCTTTGCCATGACAAATTGCGATCGCTGATCTATACAGAAGAGAGACTATCTCATAACTGAGACTTTTAGAGTTGTTGGACAGAGCTGTGCAAATGGCCTCAAAGCGGCTGCAAAAGTTTGTATGCCTCTCATATTCAGGGTCTAATCAGTACGCAGGTTCTTCCAAGGAAGAATAGAAGCACATTAGGAAGGCTGCTATATTCCTTATAAGTGTTCTATACTGACTGAATGTAATCTAACAAATTTTATTATTAGACTATGCATGAAAAGCAAAAGAAAGCATGGCCATTTGTGACCCATAACTGCTATTTGAGATCTTTGAAGTCGAGTTAGTCGTTACCACGCCTGTTGGACATGACGTACCACAACCCTGCCGAACCAGTATACTTTATCAGGATGACATATATGGCACCCATGATATTCCACCCCTTATTTGCATAAGCGAGTATGAAAACCCACTGAGATTTATTTAGTACCAAATCATCAAAAGCATTTGTCTAGAGTAGCAAAAGCCGATCTTATTAGTCAAGGTGCCCACATTTATTTAGCAGAATATTTGCAATGAACAAATTTTGGTTCTTATAATGAAGAAAAATGTGAGTGGAGGTCTTCCGGAGTATAGAATAACTATTCATTGTTGTCGGATTATGACTCAGAAGGTTATTTCCCAACCAGGCTTGTCCTTTTGATCTCCTATTACATACAAGGCAACTGCTGACCTCTTCATTTCCTATCTGTATGCGCCCAGGACCAAATGTGTTGTTAATCTTGCGGCTGAGATAATTCTGCAAGATTGCACTAGACATGTTGATGTAACATATGTACATTTGCATTAGATGGCCAGCCCGTATGCTTGACCTCTATGGTTTTTAGCTAAAATGAACGAGCCGGTGGTGGAGTTTTTTTTTAGTTTGCGATGGTGGAGTTGTTGTAATGGCATGCTGTGTTTTCATTCCAATGTGAAAAAAAGGCATGGCCATGGAACGACTGTAGTGCCATTGTGCATGCATTTCTTCCAAAAGCGTAATTATGCAAAAAAAAAAGTATAGCAAAAGTTCACCTGGCCTTTGCATTTCTTCCCAATGTGGCTTACTGACATCACTGTCGCGATTTGTCTCTTGGTGTAGTAATGTTGGGGACTTGGGGTTGACCTTTAGTTCTCCAACAAGCATGTTGCAAAATTTATTCTACAATAGTTTTACGCTCTTGGTGATGCAGCATTTAGTTGCCTCTAAAATCAACCATGTACAGAGGGCAAGCAATATGGCTGTCGGTAATGGCTATTTGTTTCCTCGATATTGCTCTCGTTGATCATCGTTAATTAGGGGAACATTTTAATTTATTCAGCCGACACATCGAGTAGATGGACCAATCTCCTTTTGATATTTATTTTTAAAATTGATTCATGCAAGGCCTAGTTTGGTGCATAAGTAGTTGTACGTATTAGAATACTAGCTTTGGATCATGTGTGTACTGTAGTAGCTTATTAGTACAAAGCACATACAATCATGTATTCATATTATATTATATGGGAAATCTAACTGCCACACCACATCTTTCTTGAGGAAATCTTGGCATGTTACCACTCGATTGAATTGATCAATTTTCGTGTGAACCTTATGATGCAGATGCGAGCAGCAAGTCACGAGACAACAAAAGAAGTCCGGACACTGGGCCAGATGTGGATTGAGCTAGCTATGCTCCTGTCAAGGATGGTGGGCCAGCTGACAAGTGTCTATTTCTGAAGATTCACATTCACATGAGCCAATGCAAGCAAAGGTTAGTGGAAAATAAAATATGCATCAGCATGCATTTGTTCTATGCTTCCTTCCTTACATTGGTAAATATGCTTTCCTATTGCCACATGTCTTGATCTTAAAAGTTGTGACAATGCTTGAATCATTTGGCGGTATGTATAATTGAGCCAATTGGGCATGAAATCCTGATTCATTCCTTGTCTCACAAGAAAACTTTACACTGGTTTCAGGTTCATGTACTTGCTATCCATTGTTCTTATTTGATCTAGTTCTTGCATCCCAATGCACGTGCTTCTAGCTGAAACTACACCGACTTGCCCAGTCCTAGTAGAATGCGGCCTATATCTACATGCATGCCTATGAAATATAGACTCCTGCACAAGATAATGTCAAGATGAAAACTAACAGTAGCGAAATAATTCTTTGTAGAAAAAAAACATGCCTATGAGCTTTTGGTAATACTACATGGTCGCTTATGCTCATGCCATGCATAGATCATAAGAGGTATATCCTTAATTTGTGTTACATGATTTTTTGCTCCCATGGGCATATATTAACCTTTTTTTTCACATAATCAAGTAACAAATTTATATCCTTGTTAAATTTGTGTTACATGATGCTTTGCTCCCATAGATGATAAGTGAATTTGGCATGTAGTAGAATTTTATTCAGGAAGTAATATGACCGTGTTGACATGTTTGGTACCGCCAGATGGCTTTCCGCTCATGCATGTAGTGCGGTTGTGGATGCGTCTGTTCTCGACGCGTTATGCTGTCGAAATTTCTAGCGAAAACTCCCACGACTTGATGCAGCCGTTTCAAAAAAATATTATAGAGACAACGCCGCATTCTCAGCAACATGTCTTTAAGAAAACACAGACTTGATGCAGCCGTCACAAATTTACTCCCTTCGTTCCTAAATATAAGTCTTTGTAGAGATTTCACTATGGATCACATAAGGATGTATATAGATGCATTTTAGAGTGTAGATTCATTCATTTTGCTCCGTATGTAGTCTATAGTGGTGCCATTTGATCATGCGCTGGTCTTGAGCTTACGGAAGGCCATGGTTGCACCGTCCATCGGCCTTGGGTGTGGAAGGTAACCGATCTCCGCATTCGGATTCAACAGCTCCCATCTGAATAAAATGATCACATATGCTGATTACTATCAAATGAGAGTTATATTGCTCCACATATATATTATGGTGGTGATTATATGCATAAATAAGAGTTTAGTTAATATACTAGTAGCACTCACTCGTATCCAATGGAGAGGTGATGCAACATGATGGTGAGCTGCAGCCTAGCGAGCATGTTGCCGGCACATATCCTGTAGCCGCCACCGAACACCTGGTACGTCCCTGGCTTCGCCGGCTCCTGCATGCATGCGTCCATATCGATTCATCCATTAGTTTCTCCGCTGCCATTAGCTGCTGATGAATGATCGATGAGAGAACGAGTTATAATTAATGTGCTTACATCCCATCTATCGGGCTTGAAGGTGAGGGGATCCTGGTAGAAGCTGGGGTCGGTGTGCAGCGACCTCACCCACACCAGCACCGACCACCCTGCCGGAATCATGTACCCGCCGTACTCCACGTCCTTGTTGGCCACGCGGTGCAGCATTGGCGCGATATTGGCCATCCGGATCGTCTCCTCCACCACCTTCGCCGTGTACTTCATCTTCGGGAGGTCGTCGTGGGTGATCATCAACGGTGAGCCGGCTTTGCTCTCGCTCAGCGCCACGTTCTCCTCTCGGAGCTTCGCGAGGGCGGCGGGGGATTTGGCTAGGTGGTAGGTAGCCCACATGATGGCGCTGGCGGTGGACTCGTAGCCGGCGACGACGAGGGAGACGATGTTGTCCACCACCTCCTCGTCGCTCAGCTTCCTCCCCTGCTCGTCCTCCATGTGCATCAGCCCGCTCATCAGATCGTCGCACTCCTTGTCCACCTTCTTCCTCGCCTCCAGCTCCTGCCTGAAGACCGCGTTGAGCTTCCGACGGCACTACACAAGCCATTAATTTCAGTACTAGTAATAGTACACTGCTTGATTATAAAAAAACTTGTAAAAAAGCAATGGGTACGTATATATATACCTTGCGAGCACCATGAAATGCCGTCCCTGGAAAATCCAAGGGAAATGCCCGGAGGCCAGCAACCAAGCCGCCGAACCACTGGTCGATCTGGCACGTCAATGGCGACGGCTCCATGCTTATAAACATCTTGCAGATGTTGGCGAACGTCACCTGTCCAATGTAATTCCAGTGTAAGGAGTAAACTAAGGTCGACATGGACATAGAGAAATACTACGCATGCATGCATGCTCACGGTGAACTGAACTGGCTTAATTTCTTACTTCCTTGATCTCGGTGGCGGCGACGATGGTCCCCATGTCGGCCCACGCCGCTAGCGCCGCCACGACGCGCGGCTGCACAACGGTGGCGATAGTCTGTAGCGAGCTGGGACGGTTGATGGCAGCGAGGATGAAGCCCCGGAGCCTGGAGTGGCTGGCGCCCTCGACGTTGACGACGGACGTGTGGCCGACGAGCTCCGGCATGGGCCACCGCACGCCGAAGCTGTCGGCGGACTGGAGCACGAACTTGTTGGCGGCCGGCGTGCACACGATGACCGCGGGGGAGCCGAAGAGGTGCGTCCGGTAGATGCCGGCCCCGGCCCCGTGCGCGCGCCTTTTCGTGGCGATGAAGGCGTCCGGGTGGCGTGCCAGCTTGAAGTGCCAGAGCAGGGAGAGCGTCTCGCCGAGGAAGGGCAGGCCCATGTGGCCCGGCGGGAGGCGGCGTCGGCCGCCGTGCCTGAGGAAGAAGGCGGCGCGGTACCAGGCGTCGGCGGAGTGCCAGACGGCGAGGCAGAGCAGCGGGGCGGCGCCGAGGACGAGGCCCAGCCACCATGCCAAGTCGCCCGCGCCCATGCCTCCCACCGCCATCGCCATCGCCATCGAGCAGCTAAGCTAAGCTGGCACTGGATAGATAGCTGAAGCTCGATCGATCTGTTTGGTGATGATTGGAGGAGACGATGAGGGAGGAATATATAGAAGATCGAGCCAGGATCCCAAGCGGCTGATCCGTTGCGGCGTGGAGGCACGTGGGAACAAAACTAGGCTAGACGAGAAATTACATCGCAATTGCACGCTCGATAAATCTCTTTGGGTTTTGGTTGCTTGCGTTGTGATTTTGGCTTGATGACTACACGGGTGATGTGTGTGGTTTTGGCTTGATTTGGTAGTGCTTTTGGCAGCACGTACTGGGTAGCTGGCTAATCAGCGTGATTGTTCCGGGCGGTGGATGCCGTATGTGTCCTCGCAGCTAAGTTCCAAGCGGTCATCATGTTAGAACAAATCCAAGACCACCGCTGATCTATCGAGGACCAAAACTAAATTCAACTGTGACCTAGCTTGTATAATAATATTCGACACAAACCTAACAAACTTTACCTTGCCGAATATTCTTCACCACCTTAAATTCATCCATGCGTCGAACCTCCATGTACATTGAATTTGAGATACGCCATGAGCACCGCTGCTACTCCCAAACTCCAGGTGACTCCACCTGCTAGTCCCTTCTCGTCTTCTTCATAGTCAACACTCGAGCAAAATTAAGTTCCTCATTACTCTATTTTATGCTCCCAACTTCCGGAGTTTTCATTCAACGCCATCACACATCAATAACTTATCTGCGTGAAAATGAACAACTCACATATTGGACGCCACATATAAGAGTTACATGAACTCAATGTCGCCGCTCTTTCTTGACTATCTGTCTGAAACTTAAAAGAATTTCACCGTCACTTTGTGTCACCCTAAGTCAAATTGACAGTTGTCTCACCCTTTCTTCGAATAGTCTCTGACATGTCCCATAGCTATAGCACTCCGCCTCCTTCTATACTTGTCATCCGCATTTTTCCATGTGCACTGAACATAACAGAATATATGGTCATGTACTCTCTCAGCTTTTCGGAATTTCAAGCTTTCCGCCACTTTCTCAGATTATCCATGGTCAACTACTGTCCATCAACCGGCACCGATAGACCCAGTCACCAACTTGAATCTGGTACTCGTCAACACTGCTTCAACGCCCCCTGCACAATTTGCCTGACAACATATTTGACCCCTAGTGCCTTGGCATGTCGCTGTGTCCCGTGCTTACCGCACGCCTCGCCGCTATCATTGCGTCGAGCCTCTGCTGTCCTGGTCGAATCTCCCTGTTAGCAAGCCCCCACTGACTCAACCCACCCACCCCCACTACAGAGAACCATCGATCATCATCGACCGATGCCGAGTATCACGTCTCCATCAGACCACTGATACTCTTTCCGATCCACGTGTCTCTCGCTATCCCGCTAAAACAGGCTTCGACTCTCCGAATTCTTACACTGTAGCCCCTCCATCAGCACAGAATGAAGTCGTCCATCAGACTCCAGCTCCACCTTCAACATGGCTCCATGATGGTTGAGACGTGCCACCCCCGCACCCTATATATGGACTTCAAGCTCTCATGTGTACACAAACCTTGAATCAACCATGCGTCATAGTCTCGTCGAAGACGCACAAGCCCTCAGGCCTGCATCACGTGTTTCCACACCCCAGAAGTCGGTCACCATCAGCATCACGCTCATATGTCGTCGTCGCCGAAATCACTGCCGTCTTCTGCTTTGACCAACATCCATGCCAGTCCATCAGACAATCCAGTCCGACCCAGCCGAAATTATCCGACTGCAACCATGCTCCACCCTGCGTCTTGACCGCCTCACACATCTATGCATTGTCTTGACGCCCTGTGTATGCATACTCCTTCCCAACATGCTCCAGGCTCCTGAACCTTATACGCGTGTCGCCCGCGCTTGTCAGCGCGCTTCTGCTGCCTATCTACACACTCCCAGCCTTCTCATCAAACCGACCCAGAAAACCTTCCATGCAAACATAGGACGAATCTATTCACACCATATTTTTCATGTCAATGTTTGATACTAGCTTCTTTTCAAAAAAAATGTTTGATACTAGCTCCTCTGTGCACCTTAGTAGAAATACGATCAAACTTTTGATCCAGCCAAGCTACTCTCGTGCACACGTGTGACCCTGGCAACGCCTTCTTTTCATAAACAAATCTCACACTGCCTTTGATTCATTCGGCTTCTACAACGATGCTCAGCACGTCAGCCTCTCTCCCTTTGCTCCGCCTTGGGCTTATAGACACCACGCCTACGCCTGCACCAGTGGCCCAACCCTTGACACGGGCCATGGCCCATGGCTGCTCCCGCATGCGGCCGTGCTGCTGCCTTGCGCCTGCGCCTAGGCCGAGGCCACGCTGCGCACCATGCAGAGACGATGGAGGTAACTATATGGGCAGCTCGACACTAGTAGTTGAAGGAGTTGAAGACCCTGCAACTCTAGAAGCTATAACTGGCTGCCGCCGCTGTTCTGACCGCCGCCGCCGCTGCCGCCGGCCTCCTCCGGAGGCTCAGCTCCCGGCCGCTCCTGCTCGGGTGGGGGGTCGCATCGCTTCCCATGGCTACCCCTCTCTAACAGCTCGCGCAAGCATCCTGAGGGAGTTCCGGACTAGGGGGTGTCCGGATAGCCGAACTATCATCATCGGCCGGACTCCAAGACTATGAAGATACAAGATTGAAGACTTTGTCCCGTGTCCGGATGGGACTTTCCTTAGCGTGGAAGGCAAGCTTGGCGATACGGATATGTAGATCTCGTACCTATGTAACCGACTCTGTGTAACCCTAGCCCTCTCCGGTGTCTATATAAACCGGATGGCCTTAGTCCATAGGACGAACAACAATCATACCATAGGCTAGCTTCTAGGGTTTAGCCTCCTTGATCTCGTGGTAGATCTACTCTTCTAACCCACATCATCAACATTAATCAAGCAGGACGTAGTGTTTTACCTCCATCAAGAGGGCCCGAACCTGGGTAAAAAATATCGTGTCCCTCGTCTCCTGTTACCATCCGCCTAGACGCACAGTTCGAGACCCCCTACCCGAGATCCGCCGGTTTTGACACCGACATTGGTGCTTTCATTGGGAGTTCCTTTGTGCCGTCGCGATCGGGAAGGATGCCTTCTCCCGTCTTTAAAGACGGCACCGTCGTCAAGAGAGCTTTGGCCGCCGGCCAAACTGTCCGGCTAGGTGGTTTTCTTATGACCGCCTGTTCGGCCACCGCTCCGACGATGACCTTTCAGGTCATCAAAAGCGATCTTCACGTCAGCCCGGAATTCACCGAGCAGTTAGATCCGATTGAGCTCTCCTCTGTAAATGAGCTCTTGGATCGCATCACCGCCCTGGGAGTCGCCACAGACTACGATCAGATTGGGCTTAAACCCGATCTGAGAGAGATTAACTCTCCTCAGGCCACCCACCACGTTGTCGTGGTAGAGGAACAATGCGGCAACCCTTCTTCTACGTTGAAAACCAACTATGTCCGGATTCCCGATCCCTCCAAGCCGGATTCCCGCGAAGGGATGGACGCTAATCAAATACTGAACTTAGAGTCAGGCATCAGACTAGATTCGTTGGAAAGCATCCAGCAAGTCAAGCTTCCAAATCCGGAAACTTCTTGGCCTTTGAGCCTCAGATCGGGCGGGGTTCCGAACTTGATTCCACCCGCCCACCCAAACATAACCGATCTATCTCGAATACGGCAAGAGCCCGACGAAAAAGTACATCATTACTGGGCCAGATTCCTCCTGGTTATGAATAGGATAAAGGACTGCTGCGAAGAAAGCGCGATTTCAATTTTCTGCAACAATTGCACGGACAAGGGAATCATGAACGCCATAAGTCGTCGCGAAGTTACACGCTTCATCGACCTAGCGACTATCGTACAAAAATACTGTGCGGTAGAGAGTGCCGGGAACACCGAAACTAGGTTTTGGGACAGTCCGGCCTTGACCACAACCCTAGTCCGAAGTAAAAGGGTGCGCCATACTCAAGCATCTGGGTTAAAAACCAAAAAGCAAAGACCCCCTAAAGGGCATGGAACCGTACTGGAGGGCTGGCTCAACGGACCCTGCAAAATCCACAGTACGGAGGGCGCCACTCCAACACACAGCCTTCGAGCATGTTGGATACTACGGCAGGTGGCCAAAAATGGCGAAGGCTTTTTAGCCCCGGGCAAACAGCCCAGCAGTACCGGTACGGTATTAACAGTCTTCGAGACTTTCGCATCAAATAACATGCGAAAACGAACAATCCACGGCCTCGCCGAAGTCTACCAAGTAGCAACAGCAAATCCATGGAGTGACACGGCTATCACCTTCAACGCCAGCGACGAACCTAAATTCCGAACAGCTAGAGCACCAGCCGCATTGGTCCTCAGTCCGATAGTGGACGACTTTCGCCTTACCAAGGTACTCATGGATGGCGGCAGCGGATTAAACCTCATCTACAAGGAAACCCTTCAAAAAATGGATATTGACTGGAGCCGCATCGAGCGAAGCAGCACAACCTTTAGAAGGATAATCCCTAGTCGAGAAGTACGCTGCACAGGAAAAATCACACTAGATGTAGTGTCGGCTCACCGGATAATTACAGGTCCGAGGAGGTCACGTTCCAAGTGGCCCTATTCGGCAGCGGATATCACGCTTTGTTAGGGCGAGAGGCATTCACAATCTTCCAAGCTATACCCCACTACGGGTACATGAAGCTCAAAATGCTCGGGCCCAATGGGATAATCACTCTTGCCAGTGATCCAGATACAGCACTCCGCGCTGAAAATAAGACAGCCGCACTGGCCCTAGAGGCATTGTCCGAAGCCCTAGCGGCAGAGGAACTAACTATGTTGCGCTCCATGGTGGATAGGGACGATGTGATACTCGATAAGAGGTCCAAGTCCACCTCTTTTAAACCAGCGGACGAAATAGTCAAATTTCAGGTCCATCCAACGGACCCCACAAAGACGGCCTCCATGGGGCACAATTAAGTCCTGAT